GTACACACACACACACACACACAGACAGACAGACAGACAGACAGACAGACAGACAGACAGACAGACAGACAGACAGACTTCTTTAATGTGTGCTATGTTCAAGTACAGCCATACAGTTTTTTTTGTTTTTTTAACGGAATGTAGCACTCGGGGTGAATGTCCGGGCCATCGTGTTGTTTACTCCATGTGCTCGACATTTCGAGTTGTTGATAACGGGTGACCTGGCCTGCACTAGATAAAAAAAACCCAACCAAACACCCCCCAAAAAACCCTAACAAAAAACAAAAACAAAACCCAACCCTATCTGCGTATGTAAAAGTAAAGTTTCAGGTAATCTCGAGTGGCACTACTTTCTGACTGATGTGAAGACTGTCTACGAGGCGTAGACACGACGACATCATTTGACCTTGTGTTTTCCCGAAAAGTGGCGTTTTTATTGTTTAGTAACAGCTTTTTTTATATAGTTGAGGGTTTTACGGCGCTCGCAACTGCATACGGTCATGTGAGCTTTATAACACAGCACTTTTACAACACAAATAGATCATTATTTACGTGCCGGTGATTTGAAGTGTTTCGTTATTAGTGCCGACGATTCGACGTGTTCCTGGAGAGTAATATACTCAGGGGGAAAAGGAAAATAGTAAAGAACCATTGATGTTCGAAACGAAGGAAATGCCGTTGGCTGCCGGCCATTCTTCCCAACTTCGTGTCTCCACTTCTCCCATTCCTTTGTCTACATACTTATACCCCATGACTTCAGTTGCCATACTATTGTTGACAATAGATCAAGTCATACATGGAGCACCTTTTAAAAAATAAGCTATCGTCGTCTTTCACGCATGACGCCATGGCCATCACCATGTTTGGCCCCACAATGAGTGGATAGGAGACCCAGGGTGTGTGTTGAGAGTCAAGAAAGTTCCGAATCTACACCCCTCGACTAAACCTTTACCCACCATGTTTCAGCCAGGAACAAATTCCGAAGCGTCCTTTAACTTAAATTAAAACTTTAAGATTAGAATGGCACAGTATCATTAATAGTAAACCTAGAGTAAAGACAGTCAACAGTAGCAGCAGCAACAGTTTCATTACTTTGATAAAGCACAGCCACGCATAAGCTGGCAAATAAATACACATACGTGAAAAACAAAATGGGAACACTATTAGTAAAAAGATCGGATTGTATTAACACAAAATGAGGGGGTGGGAGGGGGGGGGGTACTAGACGAAGTGGTTAAAACAAACAACTCCTCGACATTGATAGCTAGTGCCTCCATATGAATACATAATTATTTTTCCATTTGTCAATTTGTTTCCAAGATTGGGATCATCGCAGACGGTACATGGATCCATAGACCCCCTCCCCCTTCCTTTTTTTTCTCCTCAGGATATATCGGACAGTTCGGTACAAAAAGAACCAGAAAATGGACAGAGACACACATAGACTTTACCCCCCCCCCCCCCCCTCCACACCACCCTTTTTGTCACAACTTTTTGTACAACAATCATTATCACTTCCTCGGCATTCGTCTCATTTGTTTTTCAAGTAAATCACGAAAGAGTTCACCGACTTCCAAGACACAGACAGGTCATTGCCATGGCGTCGAACTCAGCGGTTGGAGTACAGACAATGGACAATAACGGTCACATAGTGCGACGGACAGACATGGTTGTCACAGGATGATACAAAAAGTAACACTGACAAGAAGTAAAGGGAGCGGGAGGCATCAATGCACCCCTCAACAACCCGTGAGACAAGAATGGCAGCTAAAACTGGGCCTAGGACAGTGCTCGACAGTGAACATTAGTAAACAATAAAGGCAGAGGAGCAGGCCCCTTGGCCGCTGTGGCTGATATAGCATACTAACGGTAACACCTTGATCCCAGGTAACACCTTGGCTTCCAGGTGTCAATGTGTATGGTCTGGCACTTCTTCGGGTCCATAATATATATTATATACTCTCTCTCTCTCTCTCTCTCTCTCTCTCTCTCTCTCTCTCTCTCCTAAAACCGGGGTGACCAAAAAGTAACAAATCTAATTAATTTAACAGGCGCGGAAACAGCGCTGATGACCCTACCTGCTTCCGTGACGGGCGAGGAGCGATCGGATTGGCTGCAGAGCGATGACGTATCAATCTGGTCCGAAGACGACTTGAGGATATTTTCCATCATGTCTGCGGCTTGCTTGGAATGGTGGTGGTACTGTAAAACTATTTTCTGACCTTGTGTGCTGCCCGCTGTGACGTCAACGGAGCTTTTGGTCGATTGGAGGAGGATACTAAACAGCTGAACCTCTTTCCAGACGGGTTTGGATGGTGATGAGAATCTTGATCTCTGTCACGCAATATTTTTCCTTTTTGAAGACTTGATTCATACACACTTAAAACAACTTACTCACACTGACATCTAAACTGTCAGAACACTTTGGCACTGAGACGTAGCAAAAATATGTCCACGATGCGATCACGGACTCACCGGCACGGGATTGAAAACACATAAATTCTTATATAAACAGCTCGCAATTTGTACACACGTTGGTGTGTATACCAGAAAAATGTTATATACTAAATATCACAGAGCTTTTCACTCGGGTGTGTATCTGCTGCATGGAACAATGATAATAAAGAAAACACGGTGTCAAAAATGACCAACGTTTTAAGTTACATTTGCCTGTAAGACTCAATTCGTTAAAAGTGTAAGTATAATACTTGGTAAGAATAGAATGAGTCGAGTCAAAAATGCAGAATGTTTTTCGACGCTTCCAATGGGCTGAAGAAAAGCGAAGTACTTGTTCTCCAGGTGAAGAACTTGAGCAAGCAGATTGATTGATGATAATAATGATGATGAAGTCGACGACGTCTAAAACACAGTTGTGCGGAAAAAAAGAAAAATATCCGACAACATCACCGGGCGTGTCAACTTGTGAGATGGAGAAATACAGCAATATAAAAAAATGAAATCACCGGTTTGAAAGCGAGAATCAATGTTCCGTCAACTCATTCCTGCCTACATGATTGTCTTCACTTGAACCTCTCACGTTCTCCAAAACAGCTCAAAAATAAAAAAAAAATAACACCAGGCAGGAAGGTAACGTGTGCACAATACTACAAGTGACAGTTTCTCATCTTCATGGTCAAGAATCTTGTTTGGGTCTTTCGTTCTCGTGTCACAGTTCTTGCTCACTGAATATAACGAAAATGGAAAAAAATAGAATAATAAAACCCGTTGTTCTGACAGTCAAACAGTGGTACCGTCATACAGCTCATTAACTATTCACCACTCAACACAACAGGAAAAGGTGTGGACTGAAACGAGTCCATACTTCACGCGACATATATAAAGACTAAGATCTTGTCCTCGTTTTGAACAGTGTACACTAAACTGTCCTATATATTTCATAAAGGCGGTTTTGTAAATGAGCTCTAGTTCGCCCCATTGTTGGAAAAAACAATTATCCCAGTTTCAAAGCGATTAAGGTTCTCCCTAGTCAGCACATAGCGGGTTAGCGGGTCAATAATCCAGATTAAGCCTACTAAAGAAGTCTCATATTGCTCAACTCTGGAAACTTACACGCGCATGAAGACCGCATGAGCAGAGCCAAGTTCAGAGATCTAATCTGAGCGTATCCAAGAAGGATATTGATCAGTAACAGTTAAATAAAGCAATTCCCTCGAAATGTCTGTCTGTCTTTCTGTTTGTCCCCTCTCCCCCTCCCTCCTCCCCCCTCTCTCTCTCTCCCTCTCTCTCTCTCTCTCTCTCTCTGAATATTCAAACAATTGAAGCAAAAATGATCTACCCCCACCTCCAGGTTATAGGTATTACCCGACAGTTTTATAATACGAACGAAATTATAAACTTGAACAATTAGGTTTATAATAGATCTACCTTCCAAGCTACCAGCCTAAAAAAAACTGAACCACTTTACATGTCCAATCACCTTCGGTTGATAAGCAGAATTACCGAAGATTTAAAAAAAACTTAAAGCCCCACGAAGCTATTCGTTCACCCTACAGGACGAGTCTCAAAACCCATCAGTATGCAATGTATGATGAGCATTAATGTGATCTGCTGTTTGGTTACAAAACGGACAAACACCGGTCATACTTTTTGTTCTCACGTCATAATTTGACTATGTATCTGAGGGCAGATATAATGTGAATAAAATGTGTCACGACGGGGTGGAATCAGGCTCTCGTCAACTGTAGGTCATGCAGGTGTATTGGTATATCATCTTAACGCTTGTTCATTTGTTTTACTTTGGAGGGAAAATATCAATTTATATTGAATACAAGTCAAGATATTTGCGAATGAAGGTTTCAGAGGTAAAATTAGTGAGAAAATGGCCTCCAAAGATTAATTATTTCCTTAGCAGGAGAGTCTGTGGAAACTGAACATTTACATTTTTTGTGCTTTTAATCAACGTTTTTCAGTAAAATTCATAAAAGAAACGTGTTCTTAAATGGGCAGGAAAGGTGTTAAGCCCAAAAACAAAACAAAAAATCGATAAAAATTCACAAACCCGTGGAAAAATGCCAGTTTCTTCTCTTTGATTAATTTGACAAGCGCTTGATTTCACCACGCTGCCTCACACATATTATTACTATCTTTTCTTTTCTCTTACAGTGTTCTAGTTTGCGTGAACCTAACGGGAAACACTGCAGCCACAACCCGTCTGCTAATTAATGCAAATGGGTACATTGCCACGGGTGCAGCCGACCTTGCCAATCAACAGGGCTAATAGGATCAAATGGGCTTGCCAATTACCTCCCGAGGCAACGGTATCCATGGAAACGAGATGCTTGTCAGCCATATTATGAACCTGACACCCATACCCCTACCCATTTTCCAACAAGCAAGCTACACCATGAGGCCCTACGTAAGTGACCTATTACGTCATTTCTAGAAACTACCAGCTGTTATCCTGCGTGGCACGAACTTAGACTTAGACTAGACACTACATGAGAGCGCGGCTCTCTCTCTCTCTCTCTCTCTCACTCTTCGAGGATACCCACCAACCAACGTATCTATATTACAGGGTACTTCAAAAGTAACTAGGCCCTTCTACTGCCTAAAAATAGCTGTCTTCTCCCCC